GCGGCGTGGCTAAAGTGACCTCACTACACCGAGCCGTGGGCAGCGGCATGGCTAAAGAGAGCTCACTACACCGAGCCGTGGGCAGTGGCGTGGCTAAAGTGACCTCACTACACCGAGCCGTGGGCAGTGGCGTGGCTAAAGTGACCTCACTACACCGAGCCGTGGGCAGCGGCGTGGCTAAAGTGACCTCACTACACCGAGCCGTGGGCAGCGGCGTGGCTAAAGTGACCTCACTACACCGAGCCGTGGGCAGCGGCATGGCTAAAGAGAGCTCACTACGGCAAGCCGCCCCGGACGACTTGAGAACTGACCTATAATTCTAGCTTAGATTTTATTCCAATCCACATATCCATGTTATTATAAAGGTTATAATAAAACATTGACTTCCGGGTCCAGCATTTCCACCGAAAATCGGAAGTTTTGATTCAGTTTTGAAACACGATTTCGAAGTTGATGCCACTTTGTTTTATCGCAATGCTCAAATGATAGCCCAGACACCGGTCTTAGAACTTTTACACAACAAAATGTACCATTATTTTGCTCACTAAAGAAATGTAGGACTCTTCTTTAAAATGTGGATACTTTATTTACATTTGTCAAATGGACTCAAATTACCATTGCTCTGTTACTGTTATGGAAAAATGTATATTTTTCAGTGCTAGATCGACATTTTTTGTTCTCCCCCAAATCACTATATTTTAGGAAAATAACACACAAAAGTAGCACTCAAGACATGTATAGTTTTATTCTAAATGCAATTCTGAATAATTCCATGTAAGATACGAGTGTTTTGTAGGCTACTGTTTGTGAATGCATCTTGACTTTTTTCGAGATTTTGTTTTAAAAAGTTTTTGTTTTTTGTAATATCGGATCTTTTGATCCAAATGTACAAATTATGTGGAATGTATGTAAGTAACTACAATTTTTTCAATATTTTCCAGTTGTATATTCATTTGTGGTTATTTTGATGTATCATATGACTAGGTGCAAACATATTTATTTTATTTTCACCAAAGATTATTAATTTTTTCTTTTCAAATTTTATCCCCATCCAAGCAAAATTGTGTAGCATAATTACAAGAAGCAAAGTTGAAAAATGCACAAATAAACATTACAGATGTATTCTACAAACCATACTGAGAATGTCGGTGTATAACATGTTGATATTTATTTGAATCGGTAGCCCCAAAAAAGACCTTTGAACTGTGCACTAGTCATCATCTCATTTCGCCCTCCCAAAAAACATTCGTCCTTAAGCCTAAAATAATACGTAGCGAAAGTTAAGCCCGTCTCCACGTGTTGGAACCTAAGTCTCTCCTCCAAGTGCTTCCTTCCTTCCTTCCTTCCTTCCTTCCTTCCTTCCTCCCTCCCTCCCTCCCTCCCT